CTGGGAAGACACGTGGTGCCACAGACAGCATGATGTTGGGTTGGAACTAGCCTGGACAAACCCATTCCCCACAGTGCACATGTGCTCCAGGGAGTAGCTTGCTGGGGAAGAGAGCAGCGAATTGCCCACCAGAGGCCTAGCTGTCCTGGGAGAATCAGCCATGGTGGAACAAGAGTTTTCTTCAGGCTAGAGAGGGAGAAGAATATGAGTAGGTGGCAATCTAGGGACAGCCAAAAGGAACCTGTTCAATGACTCATAGGCTGAGTGGAGACGAGGTTGGGGGGGAGTCTGACAGCAGCCTGGAGTGTGAAGAAGTAAGAAGAAATAATAATTGAAGTAGCAGAAGGTAACAGGGGGTGTAGACCAAGAGCAAAGGCACTGCAGAGAGAAATCTGGATTATTTGTGAGTCCCCCCCCTCTGCAGGGACTTCTAGAAAGAAATCACTAGGGAGGTCTAAAAGACTAGACTTCCAATGTGGTGATAGGACCATTGCTCTTTGAGTTCTTGCTACAAATGGGGAGCTTTGATTTACCAGGAAACAAAGGGTTCAGAGAACCAATTGTGATATATTTTGGCTTAAATCCTCCTGTGCCAGTGAAATATGTGAGGAGTCAAACTGTGTGCCAGGTAAGTCTCATGCAGGTGCTGCCTGGGGAGTGCCCAGCTGTCAGGGGCTTTCATCATATCTTTCTGAAAGTCAGTTTCCTCATCTATAAAATGGGATTAGGACTTATTGAGCATGATGGTTCCTTCCAACTTGAAAAATCTTCTGATTCTATGACCAAATTGGAAGGCCTGGGTTGGGCTCTCTTAGTTCTGCATATTTAAATGAGTCATTTCTGAATTGTTGCTGTGAGTCCTATCCTTTTCATTCAGATAGTCCCTTGAGGCATCATTTTTTTTTTCAAAATTGGGAAAGAGAATGATACAAGAAGTTGGAAGAAAAAAATTTACTATAATTAAGAAAATTAAATAGATCATGCTCAGAACTGGGGTTATAAATTAAAGTTAACTGATTCCAAGAGTGTATGTCATCAGAATTGGGTCTCATAACTGGAAATTTCGAGGCAGGGCAAGCTTGAAGTTAGCCTAATCCAGTAGTTCCAATCCTATTTCCTTAGGATTCTCAGCTCTGCTTCGTCTGTGTTCAGTTTCTCAGGATGGGGAATAACATGGCTGTTGCAATAATAAGGCCAAGCTTGACAACGTCCAGAGAGAGAGACTCTCTTCTCCCTCCTACGGCTCTCTCTTAAATGTGGAGAATTTTCCGGACGCCCCAGCAAACTTCCCCATAAATCTTATTAAACCTAATTGGTCCACATGCCTATTCCTGAACCTCTCACCGGCAGGGAGATGAGATTATACTTAGACAATATAGGCCTACCCTGGCTGTACAAAGACTGCAATGGGGAAGGGGTGAATATCCGGAAAAAAAAAAAATCAGGGTTTGTTGGAATGAAGTGAAGAATGGCTGCCGGGCAGACAGTCAGTGGTACCTTGTCAGAATCAGCTGTTGAAAGGCAGTGGGGTGTATGATCAGACTCTTATTTAACAGATAGAGTAGTTAGGCTCAAGGTCACACAGTTGAGTTAGACCAAGGGACAGAGACGTTTCTACTCAAAACCTGAGGCTTCTCTATGTACATTCCAAAAGGTTTAAATTTTGGCTTATCTTTTTACCCAGAAAGTCTACTTCTGAGAATTATTATAAGTATATAATGAATGGGAATAAAGAGTTAGAAACAATCAATTTTTTTTTTTTTTTTGAGATGGAGTGTCGCTCTTGTTACCCAGGCTGGAGTGCAATGGCGCGATCTCGGCTCACTGCAACCTCCGCCTCCTGAGTTCAAGCAATTCTCCTGCCTCAGCCTCCCAAGTAGCTGGGACTACAGGCGCGCACCACCATGCCCAGCTAATTTTTGTATTTTTAGTAGAGATGGGGTTTCACCATGTTGCCCAGGATGGTCTCGATCTCTTGACCTCGTGATCCACCTGCCTTGGCCTCCCAAAGTGCTGGGATTATAGGCATGAGCCACCGCGCCCAGCCAACAATCATTTTTATCCAGGTATATTTTTGTGAAAAAAAAAAAATGGTAACAACCTGAAAGTCTAATAACATGCAATTAGTGAAATCAATGATGGTACATACATACAACAGAACACTCTGCAGCCATTACAACTATACTGTAGAAGAAAAGGCAACGGCCTGGAAAAGCATTCATAATATATTATTACATAAAGAGGAGGCTACAAAACTGTGTCAAACAAAACAGATCTAGATAAATAAAGAGATGTATGCAGCAACATTTTACCTGTAGTGTTCCCTGTGTGATGGAATTGTAGATGATTTTAATGTCTTAGTTTGTGCTTCTCTCTATTTTTTTGGATTTCTTTGGTGAGAATATATAATAAAGAATATCTCTGGTGAAAACATTGCAATCAGAAAAAATGTCTGTGTAACCATTTTTAAAAATCAATTCATTCTATTTTCACTAAGAACACTGATTTTCAGACATAGCTATAGGTACCGTAGAGTTCCATGTGGAATTTCTAGAAATACAGTCAGGAGTTCATGGTAATAGCCTCCTCAAGGCCTGTCCTTCATGCCTGTGAATTCCTAGGGAAGTTTCTGACCTCGACTGCTGTCAAAGAGGGGTCCCTGTTTCCAGGGCAATGTTAGTGAGGTACAGTATGTGCGTTGAGAACCATGTAGAGAACAGGAAACTACAGATTCTTTTTAAGACACTTATTAGAATAGTTCTTTCTAAAGTTTAAGTCCCTGGCACATATTTGGTGCCTAATAAATATTGGCTAAATAAAGAGATGTTAGGTAAAGAAAAACTATTAGAAAATTTTAAACAGGGAAATGACCAGTGTTTCCTCAGCACAACACCTTCTACAAATTACACTAGGAGTAGAAAACAAGGTGGTGGCTCATGCCTGTAATCCCAGCACTTTGGGAGACTGAGGTGAGTGGATCACCTGATGTCAGGAGTTTGAAACCAGCCTGGACAACATGGTGAAACCCTGTCTCTATTAAAAATACAAAAATTAGCTGGGTACCTGTAATCCCAGCTACTCGGGAGGCTGAGGCAGGAGAATTGCTTGAATCTGAGAGGTGGAGGTTGCAGTGAGCCAAGATCGTGCCACTGCACTCCAGCCTGGGAAACAAGAGCAAAACTCTGTCTCAAAAAAAAAAAAAAAAAATTAGAAAACAGAACGACTCTCATGTACTCCCCTTTTTCTGGAATTGCTCCTGGATCTCCTGACCACCCAAGTCTGGCAGAGTTCTCCTACCTTTATCCCAGTTGTCATAGATGTCAGGCACTTTCTCTTCTGCTGACCTTCTGGCTCCTGGTGATCCTGTCTTCTTCACAGATGGAAAATACCCAGGAAACAGTATAACCAAAAAAAAAAAAAAAAAAAAAAAATCACAGTTTTCTGCTTCAAAGCAATCACCAAAGTTAAAAGCCCAATGCCTGAAAGAATTTAAGGACCAAAGTTATTCAGGTCAGAAGCTAAAAGGAGGTGACCTACCCTCTGCCCACAGACCCCAGGCTTCAAATAGGTAAAGGTTGGAGGCACCAGGCCCTGAGCAAGCATCATCAAAATCCAACCCCAGTGCTCGCTCTGCTTTGAAGACAAACAGTGCTCCTAATTAGAAACAGCTTCATCCTCAAGCCCAATGCCCATGCTTCCCTTCCAATTATTTTCAGAAACATCATAAAGAATCGTTAATGGCAATGTGAAATATGCTGGGTTGTTTTTTAAAAGAATTTGTCCACTCTTATGAGTTCAGTTTGATATGAAGAATCCGCTTATTCCTAAGAGATTTTTGGAGCAGGAGAGGGACTCAAGATAAGCATATGTTTGACTTGAAATTCTGATCACCAGAAATACACCACGTATTTGGTAAGCATAAAGAACACGCATCTTATAAAAATGTTGAAGAAGCATCTTACAAAATTGTTAACCAAATGTTCCAAAGGATCTAGATCGTGAGTTTTAGTTCTGAACTATGTGCTGGTCAGACTACTTGGGAATATATTGTTCACTTCTGGAAACCACATCTGGAAAGGGACCAATTCAAGAAACCCCAGAGAATGGGAAGAGCACAACCAGGATAGACTGTAGACTTATTTAGGGCAGCGTCTCTATCACGCCTTTGCTCACCCTGGCACAGCGCTTTATACATAGACTGTGACTTAAGATATTTGTTGAATGAATTAATGATAAGTAATTCATATGTTCTGCATAATTGTTGAAGGGAGTATAGTTGGTTAACTCAGAGAATGAAAGATACAGAGGACATGACAGCTCATAGCACATACCTAAAGGGGTATCAGAGAGAAGAGGGAAAAGATGTATTCTCTCTTGGTCTTTGGATCAGATTGAGGACTATTTAGAGAAAGCTACAGGAAAAGCAGCTTTGACCCAGGGTTATTATTAATTTGTGTATCCACCATACATAACTGTGTGAGGCTTGGGTACATTCTCACACTCAAACTTTAATTTGAGCATTAAAGGGATATGGAAAGAGAAATTTGGGCTTGTGGCCAGATTAATAAGTTGTTCAAGAAATCTTTACTGAGATGGTGTCAGAGGATGCTGAGAAGCAGGGTGAATAAGTAACCAAAAAGACAGGGCTTCTTCCCCTTTGAAGCTTGTAGTCTATTCAGAAATGCAGACGAGTCAGCAGGTAATCACTGTGTGCACAGGTGAGATGGACTTTGATAAGGGAAGTTTGGGCACCTCCTGCAGTGGGTGCTCCGGCATCCCAGGGGGCTTAGATGAAGCAAAAATGGGGAATGTGATGGTGGGGGGGTGATCCAGCATGCATACGAGCTCTATGGCAGGAGATAATGACACTTTGGAGAACCCTCCACAGTCCTTAAACCAGCCACACTTCCCACTTCCAGTTCTACCCTCTCTTGGCTTAGGAAATATTCTCCCCTTTTTACCCTGCAAAGTAACCTTGGTGGCTGAATTTTGCTTTTCAGGTTCTCATTGCTAAGGCTTATTTTGAGGCTCAGTGACCATCTCATTCCTACTGCTGGCCCACAGTAGGGAATCAGACCTTTAGCAGACACAGATCTCTTCAAATACAGAGTGAACTTGGGACAGCTAATCATCTGGGTCAAGATGAACACTCCACGAGGGACAGCACAGAATATACCCAAACTGAGAGCCACAAGTGAGTGAAACTGTACTCAAGCTGACAATACTGACATTCAAAAGGCAACAGGATAATGAGAATGCTCTGGAATTAGAGGGTAGTGATGGTCACACAACCTTGTGAATGTACCACTGCACACCTTAACATGGTGAATTTTATAATAAGTAAATTACATCTCAATAACATTAAGAAACAAACAAAAAAAGCAAAAGGAGATGGTTGCCGGAGGAGGCTGAGCTTAAAGACCCCTGGTTACACTTTCTGTTTTCCTTGTATTTACTGAAAGGAGGATTTGTCTTCTTGAGACAAATAGTTTTTTCATCTTCAGAAATTCCTGACAAGCTACAACCCTGTCAAGGCATGAAAAATTTGATTAGTGCTGACTTGGTACACAGTCTATTAATTAGTACCTAAATAATTACATGTTGCCTCTGTGGCATGATTTATAATTGTATGCATGCTTTGATCTTTCTCATTGCAGGCAGCACTGACGAGTGAAGGAACATTTGGGAGGATCAGAAGCTTGGTGCTGATTTTGTCACATTAACCAGTACCTTGATGACTTCCAGGGAATCCCCAAACCCTGGGTTTCTGTTTTCTCAACTCTAGCATGAGAGGCTAGACTCACCTGGTTTAGTTTGTCTCCATGATGGTTTAGTTCATCTCCATGATTCTGTGAATTTCAGATGTTGAACATCTTCAGAACAGCCCTGAAAGATGAACAGGCAGGAGTTATTGTCTATATTTTATCTATGAGGAAACTAAGGACCTAGAAATTTAAAGAGCTCATTAGCTTTGGAACCAGTATCAGAAATGAGTTCCTCAGAATTCTAGTCCCAAACTCATAGCATGAGAGAAATGTGGACCTTTCGTTCCAGGAGTTTATCATCTAATTGGTATTTAGCTGGTACAGGATTAAGGCAAGATTACAGGTTCTTGAGAAACATAAGCAACAGAGACAAGAACATCAGAAAGGGCTGGTGTGACTTGGGTCATGTCTGCTGATGGAGGTGATATCAGGAGAGGTTGTTTGCTGAGAAGTTTGCAATCCCTAGAGCCCAAGTGGGTGTTGCCAGGAAACCCTGAGTTTTCCAACTTGGCAATCAGTGCACAACCGAGTTATTAGAGGAAATTGCCCAGTTCTTTGGCAATTGTATGTGGTATAAATATGGTTTTGAAATTCTATATCTTAGCTTAGCGAAAGGTGGAAACATTTTGGAATCCATGGATTTGGGAGATCTGCTGCCATTGCTATTATAATTACTTTTAGCAGAAGTGTACACTATGACATTAAATTGCTCAAAAAGATTCAATTTTCTAATCTTTGAGACTTCTTAAAAAGGAATGAACCCCAAGTAGAGTGAAAGTGGATTTCAAAAAGCAGTTTATTCTGAATGAAAAAAGAATCATTCTTGGCTCTACCTCTGACAAACTGGCTGTGTGTCCCCAGAAAATTCACGTAATGTCTCAGATCCTCAACTTCAACTGCAAATAAAGGTGTTAGAGGAGATCATCTTTAAAGGCCAGCTCAGCTCTAACATACTATGATTGGATACCACATACTGTTCCACGTTCTTTTCTCTAACTCTTAGGGATTGCTGCTCTTCCAGCCTTTACAAATATAACCTTTCATTGTCACACTCATTCTTCCTTGTCCTAAAAACAGGCCCAGGCATAGCCTGGGGCCACTCCTGAGAGCTATAGCAGGTGGCACCTAGTGTCTCAACAGTAACTATCTACACTCCTAGGGAAAGTTATCTCACAGAAGTGTAGAGAGGCTGACCTCGCCTAGAAAGACAATAATGTATAATGATTGAAAGAAAGCATAGGCTCTAAAGTCAGCCAGACCTGGATGAATCTGCCACCTACTAGAGACCTTGGGCAAGCAAGTTTGCCATGCCTGGTACCTAGTGAGTGTTGTGGGCCTCTATTCTGGAGGGACAGCAGGGTCTTATGAAACCAGCATGAGATGGTAAATGCTTTGCAGGCTGGATTTTTAACAGGAAATGCCACCCCTGTTTTCTCCAACATCTCTGGCAAAATTGCTAACCCAAAGGTACCAGGCCCAGCTAGTCATGAAGGGGAGAGAAGTCATCTCCATCCAAGAGAAAATCATTTGATGTTTAAAGGAGCGGTTTAGATTGTTATGAAGGAACAGAGGGAGAGAAGAGGCAAAGACAGAGAAAGGGATGGACGAGAATAAAGAAAAGAGAGAAAGCAGTAGGAGACAAATGAGAAGGTCAAAGCTGATAATTTTCACTTCATGATAAAAGGAATTTCTAAGCAAATTCTAACCATTTTATCAAGAAGACGAAACAAATTCACTAACATATTTCCACTTAAAGAAATGCATGGGCATTTTCTTTGCAAGTGGAGTTTGTTTAAAAATTAGGTATTGAATGCTTTATGCTTTTTAAAAAAATCTCGATTGATTCTGGACATGCACATTCCAGTTGATAGACAGATCAAAGAGTCTTTGATTTTCTTACTGGTAACTTGGCACCAGTTACCAGTGGCTTCATATGAATCTATCGACTGCTGTGGGATGGCAGAGCAGCTAAGAGTGCAAGACTAGTCTACACAGGCCTGCAGCTGCCACATTCTGATGCATCAAAGCCACAGCAAGTTCCTAAAACATGGGCTCCAGATCTAGATGCTTTCGGTTCAAATTTTTACTCCATTATTTCTTAGATGGCAATTAAGACTTATGACAATTAGACTTATGGCAATTATTTACTACTTGAAAGCTTAGTTTCCACATCTGTAAAATAGGGCTAATGATAGTACTTGCTTCATAAGCTTGATGATTAAATGAAATAATAATTGGATGAGATAACGCATTTAGCTCAATACTCACCCATAAACAATTTTTTTTTTTTATGAGATGAAGCCTCACTGTTCCCCAGGCTGGAGTACAGTGGTGTGATCTCGGCTCACTGAAATCTCTGCCTCCCGGATGCAAGCAATTCTCTTGCCTCAGTCTACTGAAAAGCTGGGATTACAGGCACATGCCACCATGCCCAGCTAATTTTTTAAAATTTTTAGTAAGGATGGGGTTTCACCATGTTGGCCAGGCTGGTCTTGAACTCCTGGCCTCAAGTAATCCCCCCATCTTGGCCTCCCAAAGTGCTGGAATTACAGGCATGAGCCACCACACCAATTTTTAATACTTACTCAATTACTATGTTCTTTTTCTAGGAACTGTGGAATGTAGAACCCTATGATTCCCCCCAAGTTCAAAGATATAGGCAAGTAAGTATAATATAAGTGTGGATACAGATTTTGTAGGCTATATGTCATGGCCTCTGTCCCATATCAATTTAATACTTATTTTCCAATGTGATACCCTGAAATCCCAGAAGAGAAAAATTAAAAACATGATAAAAACTATCAAAGGTATATTCATTCAGCCACGCAAATTGTAAAATCATAGAAATCATTCTATTTGGTCACAATTTAAAAGAAGAAATTTACTATAAGAAAAATAAACACACACACAAAAACACATTGAATGCCACCTGAAGAAGAATCACCAATCCAACTATTTTACCCTGCCCACCTTCACCATGTTTTTCACAATTGCCAATAAAAAGTAGTTACCATTTATTGTACCAGACAGTGAGGTAAGTGCTTTATAAACCCTGTCTCATTTAACTGTCCCCAGAGCCCTATGAGTAGGTATGTTAGTGCCATGCCCATGTCATGAATGAGGAGATATGCCTGGCCAGAGAGGCAAGTTGGGATTCACACACGGCAGACTTGCTCCAGGGCCTGTGTTCTCAACACTGCATGGTGCTGCTTCTGATCTGGGTTGTCAAATCTCAGCACCCAGCACTCCTGGCTTGGGTAGAAGGGAATGGGCCCAGAGGTGCTGAGAATGGATCTCATGTCCACCTGGGGGCAAAGTTGGAACAGAAAGTACATGGAGAGCCTGGGCTAAGAGGGAAGCTGCCATGATGAAAACCAAACTCAACCAGTAAGAGGAGTAAACTATAAATATAAATCTCAGTTATGTGATTATGCCACCCCATAGGTGATTCCAGTAGTTAACTTAGAGCTATCAAAGATATATGGTACTCTGTATATACTTGAATCCACTTCCCCAGCTTGACACTCCAAGGAGTCAGTTGTTCTCTAGGCCAGATTATTTCCCCACAAACATTGCAATATGCCCAGTCTTCTCATTATATAAGATCTCTATTATATGGGGGACCTTATGTAATTTCATCATATGGATGAAAAATGGATTATTTTGCCATTTGGCTTTTCTCTCTAAGATTCAAAGTGCTTTTATTTATAGACTTTCACGATCTAACCAATTCACCCGAGAAGTAGGAAGAGGGCAGCTTTTTTATTTTCAAATTGTGGACTGAGAAATTGAGATATGCAGAAAGAAATAAAGCTGTTCTGCAATTTGGAAAGCCATCTGTGATGCTATAAAAATGTCTCACTGTACTCTTGACCATATAAATCACTATTTTTATTGCCTTCTCTCTGGATGAGATGTGGCTTAATTTGAGAGAGCTGTTTATCATTTGGCAAGCTAAAGGATCCTAATTTCAAGTCTCCATTCTAGTGGGTGGTAAGAATAAAGGGAATTTTCTTTAGGGGAAGAGGAAATGATAAGAATGGGAAGGAAACAGACCTAAAAAAATCGAGTTTGAAGCCTTTTGGATAATTATGGATTTAATTTGCCCAAGCATGGGTGTGGGATCACATGGAGTGTGTTTGAATTCTAAGCCACCATTATGATCACTACTTAATGTTTCTTTCTACCACTCCCTTTCTACAGTGAGTACATGACTAAGATGACAACAGCTTAAATGAGTTAGTGCATGATATGGTTTGGCTCTGTGTCCCCACCCAAATCTCATGTTGAATTGTAATCGTAAGTGTTGGACATGGGGCTTAGTGGGAGATGATTGGATCATGAGGGTGATTTCTAGTGGTTTAGCACCATCCCCATGGTGCTGCCTCATAATAAAGTTCTCAGGAGATCTGGTTGTTTGAAAGTATGTAGCACTTCCCCACCCTTCTCCTGCTGGCCATGTGAATGTGTGCCTGTTTCTCCTTTACCTTCTGCCATGATTGTAAGTTTCCTGAGACTGCCCCAAAAGCAGAAGCCTGTACAGCCCACAGAACTGTGAGCTGATTAAACATCTTTTCTTTATAAGTTACCCAGTCTCAGGTACTTCTTTATAGCAATGCAAGAACAGACTAATGCAGAAAATTTGTACCAGAGAAGTGAGGCATTGCTATAAAGAAGCCTGAAAATGTGGAAGCAGCTTTGAAACTAAATAATGGGCAGAGGTCGGAACAGTTTGGAAAGCTCAGAAGAAGACAGGAAGATGAGGAAATGTTTGGAACTTCCTAGAGACTTGTTTAATGGATTTGACCAAAATGTTCATAGTGATATGGACAGAGATGCCCAGGCTGATGAGGTCTCAGACAGAGATGAGGAACTTATTGGGAACTGGAATAAAGATCACTCTTGCTATGCTTTAGCAAAGAGACTGGTGGAATTGTGCTCCTGCTCTGGGGATCTGTTGAACTTTGACCTTCAGAGAAATGATTTAGGGTATCTGGCAGAAGAAATTTCTAAGCATCAAAGTGTTCAAGATGTGGTCTGGCTGCTTCCAAAAGCCGAACTCATCTGCATAAACAAAGAAATGACCTGAAACTGGAACTTATGACTGAAACTGGAAAAAAGGAGACAAAGCATAAAACATTAGAAAATATGTAGCCTGCCCATGTGGTAGAAAAGAAAACCCCATTTTGGGGGTAGAAATTCAAGCCTGATATAGAAATTTGCATAAGTAAATAGGAGCCAGATGTTAATAGCCAAGACAATAAGGAAAATGCCTATGAGACATTTCAGAGACCTTTGGGGAAGCCCCTCCTATCACAGGCCTGGAGGCCTACAAGGGAAAAATGGTTTCATGAAGCCAGGCCCAGGGCCCTGCTGCTTTGTACAGCCTTGGGTCATGACACTCTGCATTCCACCTGCTCCAGCTCCAGCTGTGGCTAAAAGGGCCCCAGATATGTCTCATACTGCTGCTCTAGAAGGTGCAAGACACAAGCCTTGGTGGCTTCCACGTGGTGTTAAACTTGCAAGTACACAGAGGTAAAAGTTGAGGCTTGGGAACCTCCAACTAGATTTCAGAGGATGTATGGAAAGGCCTGGATGTCCAAAAAGAAGTCTCCTACAGGGGCAGAGCCTTCATGGAGAATATCTAATAGGGCAGTGCAAAGGGGAAATGTGAGGTTGGAGCCCCCACCCAGAGTCCCCACTGGGACACTGCCTAGTAGAGTTGTGAGAAGAAGATCATCATCCTTCAGACTTCAGAATGATAAATCTACTGACAGCTTGCACCATGTAGCTGGAAAAGCCACAGGTACTCAATATCAGTTCATGAAAGCAACCACAGGGGATGTACCCTACAAAGCCACAGAAACAGAGCTGCCCAGAACCTTGGGAGCCCACCCCTTGCATCAGTGTGGCCTGGATGTGAGACACAGAGTCAAAGAAAATTATTTTGGACAAGATTTAATGACTGCCCTGCTGGGTTTCGGACTTGCATGGGGCCTGTAGCCCCTTTGTTTCGGCTGAGTTCTCCTTTCTGGAAAGGGAATATTTACCCAATGCCTGTACCTCTACTGTATCTTGAAAGTAACTAATTTGTTTTCGATTTTACAAGCTCATAGGTGGAAGGGACTTGCCTTGACTCAGATGAGACTTTGGACTTGGACTTTTGAGTTAATTCTGGAATGAGTTAAGACTTTGAGGGACTGTTGAGAAGGGATTATTGTATTTTACAAAGTGAGAGGATATGAGATTTGGGAAGGGTGGAATAATATGGTTGGGTTCTGTGTCCCTACCCAAATCTCATGTTGAATTGTGATTCCAAGTGTTGTAAGTGGGGCTTGGTGGGAGGTGATTGGATCATAGGGATAGTTTCTAATAGTTTAACACCATTCATCCAATGCTGTCTCATGATAGAGTTCTCAGAAAATCTGGTTGTTTGAAAGTGTGTAGCATCTCTATCACCTGTTTCCCCTTCACCTTCTGCCATGATTGTAAGTTTCCTGAGGCCTCCATAGAAGCAGAAGCCTGTTCAGCCCACAGAACCATGAGCTGATTAAACATCTTTTCTTTGGAAATTACCCAGTCTCGAATAAGCTGAGGAAGACGGTGCTGTAGGACCAACTCAGGATTGCAGCTCCCAGTTAATCTGCAGAGGGTGAGTGGATGCCACATTTCCATACGGATATTTATTGTCCACAGACTAGGAGATTCCCAGGTGTAAGAGCCCCACGGGCCACCAGCGCGGCAGTTTGGGCCGGCGCGGCTGTTTGGGCCGGCACGACTGTTTGGGCTGAGGCTGCAGTGCAGCGACACTCTGTACAAAATACACTGGTTTGGTTGCCCTGTTAAACCAGCAATTGGCAATTTTGGAAGGCAGATTAGCACATTCATCTGATTAAATGGGACTTAAACAGAAAGCCAGGCCAGGAGATTCCCAGGCAGCAACGTGGTTTGAGCCAGCGCAGTGGGTCGCTGCACAGGAAATCACACAGATCCCAGCGCCCTTGCAGTAGGTGACTGGAACACCTGGGAGAGAGTCATCCGTTCAACTTTAAAAAAAAAAAAAAAAAAAAGGGCTCTGAGGCAGGGAGCCAGGTGATCAGGCTCAGCGGGTCCCACCCCCACAAAAACAAACAAAACAGCAATTGGAAATGCTCGGGGTTGAGAGTTTCATGGCAAGCACAGGTGAACCCAGGACAGTGCAGCTCAGTGGGGGAGGGGAGTCCACCATTACTGAGGTACGCGACCCCTACAGAGGTATGCTGCCATTGCTGACGCAGCCTGCCATTGCCAAGGCAACCCGCCATAACAGAGAGAGTCTGCCACTACAGAGGCAGGCTACCATCGCCACTGCAGTTCTAACCACACCCATATAAACAGGGCTAGAGGGAATTACACATGGCAGCAGGGTGGAGCCCACGACAGCAGGGCGGAGCCCACAGCAACAGGGCGGAGCCCATGGCAGCTCATGATAGCCACTACAGGCAGGCAGTGACTAGACTGCCTCCTCGCTGGGCAGGAAAGTGCAACGGATACTCATAAATAAAGCCCTAACTCCCTGAGACAGAGCACCTGAGGAAAAAAAAAAGGGGGCTTTATGAGTTCTGCTGCAGCACACTTAAATGTACCTGCCTAGCAGCCCTGAATGAACAACGGAGCTCACAGCTCAGCACTAGAGCTCCTATAAAGTACAGGCTGTCTCCTCAAGCAGCTCCCTGACCTTTGTATATCCAAAGAGTCACCTCACAAAGGACTGATCAGACTGACATTTGGCAGGCATCATTCAGGGACAAAGATAGCAGAAGGAGAATCTGGTAGCAACCCTCATGGTTCTGCAGCTGCTACAGGAGTTCCCCAGGCAAGCAGGGCCTGGAGTGGACCTCAGCAGTCCTACAGCAGTGGGGCCAGACTGTTAGAAGGAAAACTAAGAAACAGAAATACTTCATCATCAACAATCTGGACATCCACTCAGAGACCCAATTGGAAAATAAGCAACCACTCAAACAACAGGTGGATAAATCCACAAAGATGGGAAGAACCCAGCGCAAAAAGGAGGAAAACACCCAAAACCAGAACACCTCGCCTCCTACAAAGGACCAAAACTCCTCACCAGCAAGGGAACAAAGCTGGACGGAGAATGAGTGTGATGAAATGACGGAATCAGACTTCAGAAGGTGGGTAATGAGAAACTTCTGTGAGCTAAAAGAACATGTTCTTTTTTTTTTTTTTTAAAGAAAGGAAAAAAAAGGAGTGAAGGAGAGGAAGAAAGAGGAAGAAAAAGAGGGAGAGAGAACCGGAATATAGCTGTATTCTAAAAATGGGTATTAATAATGGCCAACCAATATTTTGTGTATTTAATATGGAGAATGTATATTTTGTGTATTTAAAATGGAGAGCTCTATAAATGTTTATTGAGTTTACTTGTTCCAAATCTGAGTTCAAGTCCTGGATATCTTTATTAATTTTCTGTCTCGTGAGTCTAAATCTCTTTATGAGTCTTATGTATCTGGGTGTTAGGATCATTAGCTCTTATTGTTGCATTGATCCTTTTACCACTATATCTTTGTTGCTTTGAAATCTATTTTATCAGATGCGAGAATTGCAACTCCTGCTTTTTACTTATTTATTTATTTTTGCTCCCCATTTGGTTGGTAAATCTTTCTCCATCCCTTTGTTTTAAGACTTTGTGTATCTTTGGATGTGAAATGGGTCTGGATGTGGCATACCATTAGGTTTTGGCTGTATCTTTTGATTGGGGGATTTAGTCGACTTAAATTTAGGGTTACTGCCATTTGATGTTAACTGGCTATTTTATCCATTCATTGATGTAAATTCTTCATGTTGATGCTTGTTGATGTTGATGCTCTTTACTTTTTGGTATATTTTTAGAAAGGCTAATACTGGTTGTTCCTTTCTATGTATAATGCTTCTTTCAGAAGCTCTTGTAAAGCCAGCCTGGTGGTAATAAAATCTCTGAGTACTTGCTTGTTCATAAAAGATTTTATTTTTCCTTCAATTGTGAAGCTTAGTTTGGCAGGATATGAAATTCTGGGCTGAAAGTTCTGTTCTTTAAGGATGTTGAATATCGGTCCCCACTCTCTTCTGGCTTGCAGGGTTTCTGCTGAGAGATTTGCTGTAAGTCTGATAGGCTTCCCTTTGTGGGTAACCTGACCTTTCTCTCTGGCTGCCCTTAGTATTTTCTCCTTTGTTTCAACCCTGGTGAGTCCAATGATTATGTGTCTTGGGGTTGCTCTTCTTGAAGAATATCTTTGTGGTGTTCTCTGAATTACCTGGGGTTGACTATTGTCCTGCTTTGCTAGATTCAGAAAGTTTTCCTGAATAATATCCTGAAGACAAGAATAGAGAAAAAAGGATAAAAAGGAATGAGCAAAGTCTCCAAGAAATATGGGACTATTTGAAAAGACCTAATTTATGTTTGATAGGTGTACCTGAATACAACGAAGAGAATGAATCCAAGCTGGAAAATACTCTTCAAGATAAAAGAACATGTTCTAAATCAATGCAAAGAAACTAAGAACCTTGAAAAAAGATTTGAAAAAAGATTTGAGGAAATGATAACAAGAATGGACAACTTAGAGAGGAATATGAGTGAATGGAAGGAGCTGAAAAACACAACACGAGAACTTCACAAAGCATGCACAAGTTTCAACAGCCAAATTGACCAAGCAGAAGAAAGGATTTCAGAAGTCGAAGATCAACTCAATGAAATAAAACAAGAAGCCAAGATTAGAGAAAAAAGTGCAAAAAGGAATAAACAACGTCTCCAAGAAATGTGGAATTATGTGAAGAGACCTAATCTATGTTTGATAGGTGTACCTGAATGTGACAAAGAGAATGAATCCAAGCTGGAAAATACTCTTCAGGATATTATCCAGGAAAATTTCCCCAACCTAGCAAGGCAGGCCAATATTCAAGTCCAGGAAATACAGAGAACACCACAAAGATATTCCACAAGAAGAGCAACCCCAAGGCACATAATCGTCAGATTCACCAGGGTCGAAATGAAGGAGAAAATGCTAAGGGCAGCCAGAGAGAAAGGTCGAGTCACCAACAAAGGGAAGCCCATCAGACTCATAGCAGATCTCTTGGCAGAAACCCTACAAGCCAAAAGAGAGTGAGGGGCCAATATTCAACACCCTTAAAGAAAAGAACTTTCAATCCAGAATTTCATATCCAGCCAAAGTGAGCTTCATAAGTGAAGGAAAAATAAAATCCTTTGCAAACAAGCAAGTACTCAGAGATTTTGTCAGCACCAGGCCTGCTTTACAAGAGCTCCTGAAAGAGGCACCACACATAGAAAGGAACAACCAGTACCAGCCATTCCAAAAACATACCAAATGCTAAAGAGCATTAATAAAATGAAGAATCTGCATCAACTAATGGGCAAAACAGCCAGCTAGCATCAAAATGGCAGTAGCAAATTCACACATAACAATATTAACCCTAAATGTAAATGGGCTAAATGCACCAATCAAAAGACACAGACTGGCAAATTGGATAAAAAGCCAAAACCCATCGGTGTGCTGTATCCAGGAAACCCATCTCACATGCAAGGATACACAAAGGCTCAAAATAAAGGGATGGAGGAAGACTTACCAAGCAAATGGAGAGCAAAAAAAAGCAGGAGTTGCAATTCTCATCTCAGATAAAATAGATTTTAAAGCAACAAAGATCAAAAGAGACAAAGAAGGACATTACATAATGGTAAAAGGATCAATATAACAAGAAGAGCTAACGATCCTAAATATATATGGACCCAATACAGGAGCACCCAGATATATAAGGAAAGTTCTTAATGACTTACAAAGAGACTTAGACTCCCACACAATAATAGTGGGAGACTTCAACACTCCACTGTCAATATTAGACAGATCAACTAGACAGAAAATTAACAAGGATATACAGGGCTTGAACTCAGACCTGGAACAAGCAAACATGATAGACATGTACAGAACCCTCCACCCCAAATCCACAGAATATACATTCTTCTCAGCACCACATCACACCTACTCTAAAATTGACCACGTAATTGGAAGTAAAGCACTCCTCAGCAAATGCAAAACAACTGACATAATAACAAACAGTCTCTCAGACCATAGTGCAATCAAGTTAGAACTCAGAATTCAGAAACTAACTCAGAACTGCACAGCTTCATGGAAACTGAACAACTGGCTCTTGAATGTTGACTGGATAAACAATGAAATGAAGGCAGAAATAAAGAAGTTCTTCGAAACCAATGAGAATGAAGACACAACATACCAGAATCTCTGGGACACATTTAAAGCAGTCTCTAGAGGAAAATATATAGCAATAAGTGCCCACATGAGAAGAGTGGAGAGATCCAAAATTGACACCCTATCGTCAAAATTGAAAGAGCTAGAGGAGCAAGATCAAAAAAACTCAAAACCTAGCAGAAGACAATAAATAACTAAGATCAGAGCAGAACTGAAGGAGATAGAGACACGAAAAACCCTTCAAAAATCAATAAATCCAAGAGCTGGTTTTTTGAAAAGATCAACAAAATAGACAGACCACTAGCTAGACTGATAAAAAAGAAAAGAGAGAATAACCAAATAGATGCAATAAAAAATGATAAAGGGGAAATCACCACAGACTCCACAGAAATTCAAACTATCATCAGAGAATATTACAAACAACTCTAGGCACATAAACTAGTAAACCTGGAAGAAATTGATAAATTCCTGGACACTTGTGTCCTCCCAAGCCTAAACCAGGAGGAAGCTGAAACTATGAATAAACCAATAATAAGGTCAGAAGTTGAGGCAGCAATTAAGAGCCTACCACACACAAAAAGCCGAGGTCCAGATGAGTTCACAGCCTAATTCTACCAGACACACAAAGAGGAGCTGGTACCATTCCTTCTAAAACTATTTCAAACAATCCAAAAAGAGGGAATACTTCCCAAATCATTTTATGAGACCAACATCATCCTGATACCAAAACCCAGCAGAGACTCAACAAGAAAAGAAAACTTTAGGCCAATATCCATGATGAATATAGATGCAAAAATCTTCAATAAAATACTAGCAAGCTGATTGCAACAGCACATCAAAAAGCTTATCCATCATGATCAAGTAGGATTCATCCCGGGGATGCAAGGCTGGTTCAACATAAGCAAGTCTATAAATGTAATTCACCACATCAACAGAACCAAAAACCAAAACCACATGGTTATCTCAATTGATGCAGAGAAGGCCCTTGACAAAATTCAACAGCCCTTTATGCTAAAAACCCTCAATAAACTCGGTATTGATGGAACATATCTCAAAATAATAAAAGCTATTTATGACAAACCAACAGCCAATATCATACTGAATGGGCAAAAACTGGAAGCATTCCCTTTGAAATCTGGCACTAGACAAGGATGCCCTCTCTCACCACTCTTATTCAATATAGTACTGGAAGTTCTAGCCAGAGTAATCAGGCAAGAAAAAGAAATAAAGGGTATTCAAATAGAAAAGGAGGAAGCCAAATTGTCTCTATTTGCAGACAACATGATAGTATATCTAGAAGACCAAAACTCCTGAAACTGATAAGCAACTTCAGCAAAGTCTCAGCATATAAAATCAATGTGCAAAAATCACAAGCATTCCTATACAACAGACTTAAAGAGAGCCAAATCAAGAACAAACTGCCATTCACAATGCTACAAAGAGAATAAAATACCTAGGAATACAACTTACAAGGAACATAAGGGACCTCTTCAAGGAGAACTACAAACCACTGCTCAATGAAATAAGAGAGGACACAAACAGATGGAGAAACATTCCATGTTCATGGTTAGGAAGAATCAATATCATGAAGATGGCCATACCGCCCAAAGTAATTTATAGACTCAATGCTATCCCCATCAAGCTACCATTGACTTTCTTCACAGAACTGGAAAAAAACACCTTGAACTTCATATGGAACCAAAAGAGAGCCCGCATAGCCAAGTCAATTCTAAGCAAAAATAACACAGCAGGAGGCATCACACTACTGGACTTCAAACTATACTACAAGGCTACAGTAATCAAAACAGCATGGTAATGGTACCAAAACAGAGATATAGACCAATGGAACAGAACAGAGGCATCGGAGGCAACACAACAAATCTACAACCATACAATCTTTGATAAACCTGACAAAAACAAGCCATGGGGAAAGGACTCCCTGTTTCATAAATGGTGTTGGGAAAACTGGCTAGCCATATACAGAAAGCAGAAACTTGACCCCTTCCTGACACCTTACACTAAATTTAACTCCAGATGGATTAAAGACTTAAACATAAGAACTGGCACCATAAAAATCCTAGAAGAAAATCTAGGCAAAACCATTCAGGACATAGGAGTAGGCAAGGACTTCATGACCAAAACACCAAAAGCATTGGCAACAAAAGCCAAAATAGACAATTGGACCTAATCAAACTCCACAGCTTCTACACAGCAAAAGAAACAGTCACTAGAGTGAATCCACAACCAATAGAATGGGAAAAAATTTTTGCATTTTACCCATCTGACAAAGGGCTGATGTCCAGAATTTACAAAGAACTAAAACAGATTTACAAGAAAAAAACAAACAAGCCAATCCAAAAATGGGCAAAGGATATGAACAGACACTTTACAAAAGAAGACATACATGAGGCCAGCAAACATATGAAAAAATGCTCATCATTACTGATCATTAGAGAGATGCAAATCAAAACCACATTGAGATACCATCTCATGCCAGTTAGAATGGCAATCATTAAAAAATCTGGAGACAACAGATGCTGGAGCAGATGTGGAGAAATAGGAACACTTTCACACTGCTGGTGGGAGTGTAAACTAGTTCAACCATTGTGGAAGACAGTGTGGCGATTCCTCAAGGACCTAGAAATAGAAATTCCATTTGACCTAGCAGTCCCATTACTGGGTATATATCCAAAGGACTATAAATTGTTCTACTATAAGGACACATGCACACGAATGTTCACTGCAGCACTGTTTACAATAGCAAAGGCCTGGAACCAACCCAAATGCCCATCGATGATAGACTGGACTGGGAAAATATGGCACATATACACCATGGAATATTATGCAGCCATCAAAAATGATGAGTTCATGTCCCTACAAGGGACATGGATGAATCTGGAGAACATCATTCTCAGCAAACTGACACAAGAACAGAAAATAAAATACCGCGTATTCTCGCTCATAGGCGGGTGATGAACAATGAGAACACATGGACACAGGGAATGGAACACTACACACTGGGGTCTATTGGGGGGAATAGGGGAGGGACAGTGAGTGGGGGAGCTGGGGAGGGATAGCCTGGGGAGAAATGCCAAATGTGGGTGAAGGGGAGGAAGGCAGCAAAACACACTGCCACGTGTGTACTTATGCAACTATCTTGCATTTTCTGCACATGTACCCCAAAACCTAAAATGCAATAAAAATATATATTTAAAAAAGTCAATATGCCAACTGAAAAATGAGCAGAGGAAGAACTGACAGTTCACAGATAAATTAAAATGGTCAATCATGGCAAATGATGTTCAGTTTCACTAGTAAACAAAGAAATTAAAATAAAATTACATTAAAAAAAAAAGAAAAGAAAGAAATTACCCAGTCTCAGGTAGTTCTTTGTGACAAGGTAAGAATGGACTAATACAGTGCATCACTAGGGTAGCACAATGGAGAGGGCCCCAAAGCAGAGAGATAAACAGCTCATTTTTTTCATCTTTCTCAATACTTCTTGCTCCCTCTCTGTTGTTATCATCCATTTTTCTTTTCATCCCATTTCCTCATTTTTCCCTTTCATTTCCTCTTTTTGGGACAGCAAGAAGTCATGTTCTTGCTGCCAACAGTTACAACATTTTCAGTAGTCATGACAGCCACAAAGCCAGGGCTGGACCTGTCCAGAGGTCTGATCTGCAGCAGGAGGGAGTGTGTAGTGTACAGGGGGTTGATCTGCAGTAGGGGAAGTCTGTAGTGTACAGGGGGTCTCCAGCTGTCACTTAGATCCCATGCTGCCCCTTCACTTTTAATTTTGCTCACAGTGCCTTTTGTCAAAGGCAATTTAAAATTTAGAGATAGTCTCATCTGTCAATCTTTTCTTTACTTTAGGGTTTCCAGGTTTGTGTCTTACTTAGGAGGGGCTTCCCGATGCTGAAATTATTTGTGTAAACAGATATGCCACATTTGCCTAAACAGAAATTTGGGCAAGCTGGCACATTTGAAACAGGGCTGTCTCCTAAACTTCGGGACATGTGGATAGCATGAATATGCTTGAACTCTAAAATTACTTTCTCTGGAAAAGGCCTTCTAGCTCCCTTACTCATTGCCTCTGCCCCCCAGCTCCACCCGAGCAATTTCATCTTAGGGTCGGGGAGCATTCAGTTGCTAGGGCCAGAACCCCACTCAGAGTAACTTAAGTAAGTGGGAACTACTTGCTCATTGATAAGGGAATACTATGAAACCCAGTTTGAGGAATTCCATCTGGGGAACTGAAGGGCTAGAGTCCGGAGCTGCTCTTCCTCCTCCCTTTCTCTGAGTTATCTTTGTGGAGTTATCTGCTCCATCCTCTCCCTCTAGTCCAGCATACTTTGTTACCACATGACCTTAAATGACTGTCTGACTCAGTCCTTAAGCCCACGGACGGAATCTTGTGAGTCTAGCACTCAGACAACAAATGCCCTCAGGCTCTCTGTGCCCCAACTCCAAGTTCTAGATTAAAAGGTCCAATTAGTTAAAGTAGATCATGTCTAAAATGGGTCTATTCTCAATTAAATTATTGGTAAGGGCCATGAGCCACATGATTGCCCCTTGGGGTAGTGGGCAAGGTAAGATTCACAAAGAAGATGTGGTGGGAGGAAATGACCTCTGTAACTCTGTGGTCCGGTTCTCACACACATATTGTGATTTTTGCTCCCCTTCAAGTTTGCCCTTGATGTTGTCTCTAACTGAATTCTGTTTTCTCCCATGGTTAGATTTATACCACATCCAAGACCTTTTAGGGATGTGCCGTAGTCCTGTCCCCTGCGGGAAGCTCTGATCTAAGACTGCACCCTCGTGGAAATTAAGGAGAAGGGGAAAGTCTGGGCTACAGATGGAGAAGGATGAGTCATTCCAGCAGCCATAGCCAAGGGGACTCCTGGAGATGTGGGGACTGTTTATGTAGCCACTCAGTGTCATGGGCCCCCAGTGGGGGTGGGGCGAGGAAGGACATACAAAGGTTGCTCTAGTACATTTCTGGTTTTGCTTCCTACTGTAAATGACTTTTGTCATATGACTGGGGGAGTGTGGTGGTGGCAATAAGCGGAAAAAGCTGAGTCTAAGAGTTGCTTTCTGGATTCTTTTATTAGGGTCAATGTAATCTAAAAAAGTTGACTTTTGAGAAAAGAAATCTTTTCTGTTTTCTACAGCCAGACTAAGGATTTGGTGATGAATGGTAGGTGGGAACATGATGGGACCCTGACTGGTTATATGGCCTCTCTGAGGCTCAATTCTTTTATCTCTAAAAGAGAGAACTGTCTACCCGGTGAGAGAAGATCTCTTGGGAGCCCACTGAACTCTAATGTAATGTTATTATACAGTAAGTTCTCACTTAATGTCATTGATAGGTTCTTGGAAACTACAAGTTGAAGCAAAATGACATATAACAAAAACATTTTTTTCTCATCAATATTATAACAAAATGGTAAAGGAAATGACATTATTTATGGACGCACTGTGTATTGTTTTTGCTTAAAGTCATAGATTCCAAGAACCTACCAATGACATTGAGGACTTACTGTATTAGTATCATTTATAACTACAAAATGACTTAATGTACCACAAAATATGCTGATTTCATGTTAGAGACCAGATAAATACAAATATTTTGTTAAAGTGTCTCTCTTCTTCACTTTACCAACCTTTACCAACCTCCTTCCTCCAGAATATTTATCCAGAATATAAAATGCCTCATCAACATGAGAGAACAGTAGGAAGCACCCATTTGTGGTAATCCTCTGTATGGAGGAGCCCGTTACATAACCACAGAGGCACAAAGCTGCGGTTTTGAGAACATCTTCCCACACCAGTTCTAAGCATTGACCTCGACTACATTAGCTAACACAGGAATCAGCACTAGTGACTTTTGAGCCAACAATCAACCTCTCCTAACACATGATTCTTCTAGAAAAATATGTGAGATTGGAGATTACCTGTGATGGTTTGGATTTAGATTTTGCCTCAAGGTTCAGGCAATGGTAAATAGGCAGGAGTTTAATAGGAATTAAGGTTATTTGATAACTCCTGGGCCACTACGGATAGAAAGGATTGGCAATTTTGTCATTTGGGCTGCCCCTGATTGAAGGCACAGACCTGCTTCATGAAGTGCTGAAACACAAGCACAGGTGCATCAAAGTGAGTGGTAACCAGCTTAATAGTATGGGTTAACCCTAACCAGATTCATTTTATCGGAAACACAAACACGAATCACTTGTTCTTACTTTTATTTTACAGTGGTCTCAAATAGTCAAGATGCCCTGCTGGGAGGAGCTTCTATTCCTGCTCTGTGGAAGAACTGGGCATGCCAGATGCCCAGAAGGTAAGAGGCTCACATTCCAGGTGGATCACTCTGGTTCTTCTCATCAGAATCAACTAGAGAGATGGGCTCCCTCTCCAGCCCTACCCAGAAGCAGTGACCAACCTGAAAGGAAAGATAATCCATTGCCCTCTGGAGAACTGGTCTGACTCTAAATCAGGAGCCTGCAAACTATTTCTATAAAGGGCTGGATAGTACATTTTTTGCCTGTAATGGCCTTCCAGTCTGTCTCAGTTACTCAACTCTGTGATTTTTGAGCAGCCATTGGACAGTATGTAAATGAATGAGCCCAGCCCCATTTGGCCCTCCACCCACAGGCCATAGTTTGCTGACTCCTGCAAGAGTGAAACCCTTTATGAACTAGAGAGTTCCATGCTTGAACATGGGCCCAGAAAATACAGGAAGGCAAATCTCACACATTGGCAGTTGTGTGTCTCCTAAGTGCTTTGTGACGGTGTTGACTTCCAATTCTTAGGAGAGGCCTTGGGCACCAACCATACGCTGACCCAGGAAGAAGAGGACTCTTGGGAGTGAGAGTCAGAGAATGAGTACCAGGTGCCCTTCAGAGCCCTCAGCCTTCAGACTGACACAACAACAGATCATAGTCTCCTAAGTTCTCTGGCTTAAAGCATGGGAGCCACACTTACCCTGCCAGGCTGGAACCCCAGTTCTTGGATGGGGCTAGCAGCAGCCATGCAGAATGGGCATGTGGGTAGTATAGGAGAAAGAATGCTAGGTGGCACTTGGTCGGCAACTTGCAATATCATATTTCTCAATTGTATCACCAAATGTGTATTATCGTCCTGTCTTACAGAGAGGAAATATGAGCCTCTCCTGCCAAATAGAAAGTTTCAGGCGGCAGAAGGATGACCTTGGCAGACAGGGAGGTATCCTTTTCTTGCGCCTTCCTTCAATCTGCCTGACCCCGGCTCTGCTCGGCAGTGACCCATGCTCCCCTGACCACTTGTCTCCAGCAGAGCTGTGATTTATCCACCTTGCTCCATCTGGGACCTGCACCCAGGCCACTTTCCTCACTCCATCCTGGGCTGGCAAAACTACCCCATTTGGAGCTTCTTCTCCAGGGTTTCAACCAAGTTTAGAAAAGCAACAAAACAGCCAGCGTGCAGCCTATCCTTTTAAAGAATGTCTTTGAAGCTACCATGTTCTTAAACATTTTCAGCATGTTTTTCAATCTTTTCATTATTACTATAGGGAACACTCTGAAACTAAGGCTATGGTTATAAGGAACTCAGAATCACCATCCCCCAGTATGGTTCCATTTCCAAACAAGTTCAAGAAACAGAATCCAGGCAAGTAGCATGTGAACAATGCCAAAAGATGCAACCAATACAGTGAAACTTTGTAGTGTTAGAGAGATGAAGGAGGTTGGAAATTACCCTCTTAAGTTCGTTCTTTCATTGTTATTTATTTTTAAAGTACTGCTTGTGCAGAACCCAAGGACAGCTACACATTTACTGCATATTTATATTTACTGCCTCCTGAGACATTAAATGTAAACGGCTGCAGCAGGGTCTTGGTAACTGTCCAGCGGAAGCACAAATTAGAAAAAATACAAAATAAGCTTCCCTGAGCCCATGAATTCACCATATCATGAATATGTAAGATACATTAATTAGTTCATTAATAGGCTCCAAGACATTGCAGATGCTGGGTGTGTG